ACTTGATTTTGTTTTTTAATTAATAATTATATACTAATGTATTATATACCCTTTAGTTTCTTTATCGCCTCTCAGCCATGCATGATTGCATCTCTCCCTTTTTCTAACTCGACCAACAGACTGCCAATGTCTCTCACCCTCATTGCTTGCACCTTGACTATCTCGATGGTGGCTTCGCCTTCCTCTCACGTTCGCAACTCAATTTATGTCTCTAAATTTTTCTCTCCTACTAGTTTAAAATGCAAAAATTATAAACTTAAATCTCGTCTATTTCGATTTTAATATAATTTTAGTTCAGTTCGATAATTTTTATTGTTAATTTAGCATTTATAGTCAAATTAACTGAACAATCACTCATAACAATTACACTAATAGTAATAAAAAACAACATCAATTACAACATTGATGATAAAAATAATAATAGGGTGGAGTAGTGGTGACAATGAAAAAGATAATGACAATTGTCGTGAGCAAAAAATAATTGTACTGAGGGTGATGACACGGTGATTATGGTGGTAAAAACAATAAAAGTTGCAGTAACGAAATTGATAACGACAATGATGGTAATAATATTAAAGATGTGATGATGATGACAATTGTAAGAATTAAAGAGGGAAGTAAATCAAGATAATAACGAGAAAATAAATTAGGGCAATAAAGAGAAAGTAAATCAGAGTATTAAAGAAAAAGTAAATTAAGATATTAAATAATAAATAAATTAGGGTTTAAAGATAAAAAAATTAAGGTATAAAGATATATTATACCATCTGTAATTAATTACAATTTATAATTTATTTTCTTTTTTATCTTAGAAAACTTGTATATATAAAATTATAATATACAATGAAAAAGATAATGACAATTTTCTTGAGCAAAAAATAATTGTACTGAGGGTGATGACACGGTGATTATGGTGGTAAAAACAATAAAAGTTGCGGCACTAACGTAATTGATAACGACAATGATGGTAATGATATTGAAGATGTGATGATGATGACAATTGTAAGGATTAAAGAGGGAAGTAAATCAAGATAATAACGAGAAAATAAAGTAGGGCATTAAAGAGAAAGTAAATCAGAGTATTAAAGAAAAAGTAAATCAAGATATTAAATAATAAATAAATTAGGGTTTAAAGATAAAAAAATTAAGGTTTAAAGATATATTATACCATCTGTAATTAATTACAATTTATTATTTATTTTCTTTTCTATTTTAGAAAACTTGTATATATAAAATTATAATATTAAAAAAATACACATATAAAGGCCTGAAACTTAAAAGGAAATAAAGTCATAGATTAAATGTGGAAGCAAAATAATAGAGTTTGGAGTTCACATTCCTTACACAATAATTTAGAATGCCTAATAGGGCTACGAGAATGTTCATTCTAAAAGAAACAACGAAAATAAAAAAAATAAACAGAAGACAATATACTGAGCATTCTAGAACGACCTTCATTACCTTTTGAAGGGAGTCCGTGTAGTGAACTATTCACAACCCTCTTGTTGGTCGAGATTTAGTCTTGGTCCTCTTGATGTAAAATAGTTAATGAAAGGGTAAGCTACATTAGCCTAGTAAGAATATCACACTACTCACCGATACAGAAACTGAAAGTTAGTAAAAATAATAAAAACAACCAATAGA